CTTCCCCACTGATTTCTATATAAGGCCAAACAGAAAGGACACAAAATTCGTAAACTATAGTATCTTTCATGTCCAAACAACAGAAAAATATAGGATAAAATATAATCATACATTTTATGATTAGCCCATTCCACTATGTTCTTTTGAAATACAAATTTGCTACCTATCTTATTTTTCGTGTTTAATTCACATCTCCTTCTCAGGTGTAATCTCTGTGTAATATGACTCTGAAGAAATCACTCTTGAGGTGGAGGCGTGGATTTTCATTTGGTCTTGAGCAAAGTTTTGGTTGGAAACATTATGAGTTAGGCAAATTTTGTAGTGGCACATAATGGTTCAATTGCAGACTTTATAGAGTCACTTGAAAATAATATTTTTTTAAGTCGTACGTTTCACTAACTTAGGCTAAGAACATCCCCCTATGCACACAATCCGGACCACATTATTGTAAAATAAGGTTGTCATGTGGATTTTTAAAATTTTCCTCTGTGTTAGTTTTGCTTGCACTTCTACACCTGCATTAGTTAATAATTATAAGTTAATGCAAATGGGTAATATCATTGTAAGCATTGCTAAAACGCACAAAAACAGTTTGTTTAAAATATAAGCTTGATTAAATACTTAGCAACATTAACGCAAAGAGTAATTTGTTATATATAACCTACATAACGTAAAATTATTTCTGACTGAATTGAAATTCAATGGAAATGTGAATCCTTTCTGTACTACAGTTATTTCAAAAGTAAGAATATTGTGAGAAGCTTTGTTATATAAAACTCTGGAACACGTAAAAGAGATTTCTATAAATCCTGAGCTCGATGTTTGGTTATGACGGTGTAAAGCGTGGAGAAATCACTTTCTTACCGTTCTATCCCGCTCTAACTACCACATTATACATCTTCTTTCCCACTCTCTCCCTCGCTTTCCGCTATATTTATTAAATCTTGATATCTCTACACCTTTCGCCCTCCATAGTAGAAGTTTGTGCGGAGGCACATTGATTTTTAACGAGTGTGATAATCAATGATATATTGAGCAATTACAGAAACTTAGTGTATTATTTTTGGTCTCTCGTTTTCACTTATAATAAGCATAGAGCTCTAAATCCACTATTGTTTGGATATAGGTACATGGTGTTTATTCTATATACTTATCTGTGATATTGATACTATAGCCAATTGTTTATAAAATATTAATGCAAAATTGAAACGTAAGTTACTACAAACCTTATTAGAAAAGCGGACTTAAAACAGTGCTTGCAGTTTAAAAGTGTATAAAACATTTAAACAAATATAAAACTGAAAATGAATAATTACTGTCCATTATGGCCATGGGACACGTATTCCTGTCAACTGCTGTTTATATTTCCAAATGGCGAGCAGTCCTCATATTTGTAACCATTTTACTGTTTAACTTCTGTACATCCCACTTACGACCGTATTATCCTTATCAGATAGCTGTTAGTTTTAAGTTTATGACCAGTTCGCTTTAGTATGGATCGTAAACATAAACAAAATGATGTCACTGGCCCGAAAGTAAATATTATTCAACATTACTTAAATGAAACTGTCAAAAAACGTCCAAACTATATGTTACTGCCATTCGGGCAAGTGACCTCATTTGTTTATGTTTGTAATCCATGCCGTTTATGTTCTAATATAAATATATATTAGTATGTATTAGTAGTGTATTGAATACTACTGATCCTCTACTGTTACTGAGATTAAAACACTCACCGTAATTTATCAAAGTGATTACGTATCAAAAATCTTTTATTAAATAGGATGAAATTTATTCTTCTAAAGTACATAACATATGTATAAATAATGTATAGGCCTATACATTATGACAATTTTTGTCATTGATCAAAACAAATTGTTTTTCATAGTGGGCTTCAGACTTAACAATAACTTACTGTTTCCAAGTTCGTGGATCAACTTATACTGCACCTTCGTTCAATATAAACAACTGAAATATGATTCACATTAAATGAAAACACAATAGAGTTAAACAATGTTTTATTAACAATAGCGGTTTGTTGGCAGCGAATGTTACAAAGAGAGCTAAATGTACATCAATCTACATAGAGACACTGTACATCGTGTTACATTACGTTACATGTTACACTTACATTAATGTACATCGAATACACGAACACTGTACAATGGAATGACCAGAGTGGAGATACGTTTGTACATTGATTATGATATGTTATGTACATACTGTAATGGTAGCGGTGGATCAAATACGTGTGTATTAACAATGAACCCTGGTTACAAGGATGTGCTCACTTAAATGTTAATTAAGTAATTATATACTATTTACACTTAAATTAACTAATGGTAATAAATTACTGAACTAATGAAACCATAGAGAGCGATAAATGTTAGCTTTCCTCATACCACACCTTCAAAAACACAACACTTGAAAACAGCATACACGATTGATTCATTAATAAATAACTTTTTTTAATCGTTTGACAAAACCTAATCATAACTAAGTCTTAAAAAAAGGTTTATTTTAACAGTAACTATATCTTAGTTAAACTAAAAGCTACATATTACAACAATCATTTTTTTCTAATTCTCACTAACTGATGATTACACATGAACATAAATTTATCACATAATGCAAATAAATACAACAACCTAAAAAATTTAAATATTTACCTTAATTATCGAAAACAACAATACTTTACTGTATAATTTATTTCGTGGATAATCGCTATAATATTTTAAAGTGTATTTGTATTGTTTAGATAGTAAGATTTGGACTATGCATATTTTAGCGGTTATGTTTTTAATGGCAACTAAAATTCTCAGTTTTAGGTTAAATAAAAGGTGTAGCCTATATTATATCCAATTAGTTAAAGCCAATTGGTTATATTATTTGGTATTTTACTAATTTAAAATGGGGACGCCACATAGGTGCGTATTTTAACCCAAATATGAGTGAAGGACGAGTGTAGAATGGTGTGAGATGGTCTGTGTAGCTTTGTTACTGACTAAGATCAACTGTTTCGTTAGTCAGAATCATTTATTAAAAACCCAATGATCAAGGTCGGCGGGGCCCAGATTTGAATCATCAAAAGGCTACTGACTTTTCAGGATCTAAATGACCCTATGATTTTTCACTTTATGTGTTTATGAAAATATAACACTCCCATTACCGAAATAAATTAAAAATCAACCCCTAGCCAGATTCTGAGTCCCTCGAGTCTCCACCGACCCATCCCAACCCTGATCATACGAAGATGCCTCAATATATCTCTAAGTCAGGAGTTAACAGTTTATCACTCGAAGGGGGAAATCCGAAGGTAAAGTGATAACGAAAAAAGTAAGATGTAAGACGACCCTTGTAAATCTCCACTTTGGTTTATATTAGTATTCGGAAGGCGCGCCGAGCGAAAGTGCTGGTGAAACGCGATCCGGCGAATATGGAGTCTGAGTAGGCGCCGCGGCGCGTCTCCCTCCAAATTGAATTAGCGAAGGCGTCTTGGGCGACGCGCGATTAAAACACCTTATTAATTGATGGCGCCGAGTCTATTAATCAAGATGCTCGGATCGGTTACCGGATTTGCATTGGAAATGTGAAGAGGGAATGCGCCGCATTGAATTATGAGAGTGTTTAGTTTTAGTTATTTAGGATATAGTAATGTTTGAAATGGGATGAATTTAAGGATGGTTGGTGTTTAAAATGGTGTAGTAGTTGTGAAACATTTTGCTTGTGTTTTTGAAGTGGTGTTTTTTTATGAGTTATGCTAATGATTTAAATAAAAAAGATTTAGGCTATAAAGTAGTACTTTTAAATCAGATACACTGAAAAATTAAATAAATATTGGAAAATCATGGAAGATTATTAATTATCCAAGTATAAATATGTAGTATTATGTTTTTGCATATTAGCCTAAAAAAACACATTGTTTAACACTAGTATACAGTTTTTACAAGTGAACAAAAAAACCACAAATAAATACTAACCAAAATAAACAATTAAAACAATTTCTAAATTTAAAGTTTAAATAAAGCTATTTGGATTGCTCCCAAGTAACGAATATGACCTTTTTTGACCGAGCATTATTTGATAATTTACAGTAACATACTTGTAACATATGCCAGCTTTTATGGTAGATTTTTGAGTCGAAAATCCAAAATTTCTTTAAACTTAGATCTTATCATACACATTTAAAACATGAATAACAAAAATGTATAACAATTTAGCCGAAACAATATTCAAAAATATGTTTATATCTACAAAAATTATTTTACAAAACTAATTCACCTAATAGATCTTTGGCAGAGTTACAATTTTTTATACACACAAATATACATAATCAATATAATAACGTTGTAGTACACAGTACATGAAATAGTATAGTTTCTTATCAATATACTGTACATGAATGGTGAAGTACAGTACTGTAATTTAAGTTTTGATTAACAACAATGTTTAAGGTTTAACCCAAATGAATAATTTCTATTGTAAAATGTCTACATGGCACCCAGAAATAATATCTTTGGCATTTATAATATAAAACTGATCTTTGGTAAAAATACCGGATTCAAAAATATAAAACTATCTTAGTTTTTGGAAATAAACTAGAACTCTCAATTGAAATATATATTTTTACTAACACACGATATTCATCTTAAATTTAGACTAAAACATTTCATCTATAGATCTATCTTTGGTCATAATGTTCACCGAACGTCACTGAATCTCATTATTGGAGCCTATCTAATTCAACCACATAGGTACCACACGAGTTGTTGAACATGTTAGTCATGGGTATAGATGCTAACACTCTGAATGTGATCGTTTCTAAACGTGAAGATCCAACTCCAACTTATTGTCCATGGGAATAGTTAAATGAAGTTGTTTTTCGCCAAAAGCATTATTGACACAAATTGCACTGATGTCTGTAGAATATCTTTGTACGTTATTAGTTCTATTCAATTTTGCACGGTGATCTCTGGGGATCAGTTCCAGAGTATTCTTCCCTAGGGAACTCACAGGAACCTATGGTCGGAGGGACGCAGACTGGACGGTCCCTGTGGTCCCTGCAGACGCAGGCAGGACGGTCCCTGTGGTGCCTCGTTCTATGTTGGAGGACATTCCGATAGGTAACGGCATTGAGAGTCCTGCGAACATTACGAGCTTGGTTAGGTGGGAAGTAAATAAAAAATGCGGGGGACTGATCCAACTATTAAATGAGTGGTGGTGTGTATCATCTTGATATAAACATTTCAGGAGTTATGTACTTAATTTTGGTTTGGCTTTCTGCAATTGGATCAAAACTATGCCATCAAAACCTCATTCATTTTCAATCCAGGAGTAAAATACGAATATAATTTTACAACTTTACAGTTACAAAAGTAGACATCGGTGCTAGAATATGGCTTTAGCTGGTTCATATAGGTAGGATATATAGTTCACTATCGAAAGACAATAAATTATTGTAGTATAAATCCCTTAGCAATCAGCCTAAATCACTGCTAGGAAATATTTCCTACTCACAATCTTGATATTGAAATTTTCCCTTTGCAAATAATGATAATATAAATGATCGATATATGTAGGTATATACATATGATACAAAGAAATGAATCGCTTTACTTCCATTTGGTAAGAGATCAGACTTAACACAAACTGTGCTCCTTCCCATTATTATTCCCGTAACTTGTAGTTTATGTTTGTTGACATATTTTTCGTTGAGCCCGTCCCTTTCCAACCAAACCTAACATAACACAACCTAACCTAACCTCATTTACATCACTTTTTCCTCGAGACACATGTTAATAGTGGAAGCCCTCTTCTAAAAAAATACTTTATTGGTCGTCCTGTCCTTCATATACAAATGCGTACTCGCTACTACCTTTCGACAAGCCTCTGTTGGCATTATCCTAATAAACGATGTGTTAGTGTTTGATTAACCTTATTAACATTATATAAATACTAACAAACAATTATTATAGTCTGCATGATGGAATCTGTTTCCTGATTTCTCGTGTCTACTTGGAGTCTGGCCCATGGCTTCAGGCCCAGGTCAGGAGGCAGGTTCCATCGTACAGACTATATAAACACAGCGTAGTATAGCAGTAACAAACCTGGGGGTTGAGTGGTGCCCGCGGAGGTTCCAGCGAAGGCCTCATCTCTGTATGTTGAGTCTCCTTGTGTCGCCGAAGGTCTACTTTGCGCTGGAAGGCTCTGCCGCACAAGTCGCAAGCGAATGGTTTGAACCCGGTGTGTTTGCGACTGTGGGTGATGAGGTTGGACGATTGGCTGAACGCTTTGCCACAAACCTGACACTTGTGGGGCTTCTCGCCTGGGGACAAACATAATCGGGTTAGTCGAGTTTTTGAAAAAATTAAAAACAATCGGAATTCCAAAAGTGGTTTTGTAAGGGAACTGTCCAACCGAGTTGAGCCCAATCACAATTTGAACTTGGGTCGAACCAGCAAGCCCCATAGTTGTTAGTGGTGGTTTAAAAATGTCTAGAAATTGATCGTCTTAATTTTATAACGATGTATTTGTACATACGTGTATTTGTGTACATTTTACACGAACTTTTGCAATCCCTTGCTGATCTCAAAGTACTAAGCACGGTACGTACGGACCTACAGCAAGGAGGGTTCAAACCACGGGTGATTAACAGAGGTGAACCATGGCTTTGATTGTAGAAGGCCTGTGTTCTAGCAATTTAACAGGAGTGTACTTTATGTGAATACAGATTAAAACTATGTCTTAATTATAAAAATCATATCAGGGAAGAACGTCAATAGGATAAGTCCCACTATCGCAATGGGCCTACAAGAAAAGATTGTATGGTGCATTTGGAGTTGAGATGCACGGTGAGTGTAGAATATATTGAAAGAATCGGACGCATTTAGTTGATAGAATTCTGAAAAATGAAGGAAACGAATAAAGCCCCGCGCTCTAACCACTAGACAAGATGCACATACCTTAAATAAAATCTATTTTATCAATTTAAAGAATTTTTTTATCCACCCCGACTAATTAATCAAATATTTCACTTCTCATTGTGTTTTTTTACGTCACATTGGTATGTGATAGAATTTGTATCCATTTATAACTATGTACCACTAAACCATGTCCATAACTATCCTAATGGGAAGGTTACACTCCAATCCGTCCACCTTGTGGTACACCACTGACGTGCAGGTGGCGCTAGGTAGCTACAGCGGCAAGCGGCCGTACTAAGGTGTCAAGAGATCTGCAGTTGCCATGGCGACCAAACACCAATCACTGCGCGCCATCTTGCCGCTCTCCCGCCACAACCGCCGAGACTCCCGCCAAACTCGCCATCGCGTCTCTGATTCCGTCTCTGATTGTGATTCCGCTTTCGCTTGACATTCGGGACACGTCTCAGACTTTCTGTCTCTAGTTTACGATGGAAACAAGACGGCTGGTGTGGAATTTAAAAATACGTATAATGCGAAAATGAATTTCAACCAAAAGTGGAGAATCACATTATCACTAATGAACAGTTAGCTATGTAGAGAATTGCTATTTATAAAGGTGAGTTTCTCAATTGCAACACCCGTCGAAAAGGTTCCAACTTACATTATTGAACAGATTTGGTTCTCACTGGTCGCTTGGTTATGTGCGTTTAGTATTCAAAAAATGTATAATCCCGTTTTTATAATTTTGAATTACAATGAAGGATCGCACAAATTCTAGTTAATTTTTCCCTAATTTTGAATCAATAATGAAACATTCCGTAAATACCGTCTTCAGGATATTAAATTCAGATGATTACAATACGTGTAATAAACCAATTCTTCATTATCATTATTATTATTGGCACCATTTTACTCCATTGATAAATCTAGCTTAAAACACTTTTTTATATACACTTACACTGAAAACATTAATCGGTAAATACACAAAAATATCTTAGATCGGAGAACGGGTTTGACCGGCTACACCAGTCATCATCAAGCTATTGCCTTTGTGTATAAAAATGGAGCTCGAAATCGTACCGTCGTTTATAGTTTTTAACATTATATGACCTACTGTATTGCATTTTTCATTGCATTCGTAGTATAAACAAAAAATTAATCCTTGCTATCGGCATTAATTTTATTTCAATCAACCGTAACCTTTACAACAAGAAACTTAGATTAATAATCTACTATAGGCACGTGATTCACACAGCCATAACGCAAGGTTCTGATTGACTGCTGCTATAAACTCCACCTAACTACTTGTGACGCCTCGGGGACCGAGTGACCCGGGTCGGACGTTCAATCTGCGAGGGACAAAAATTGAATCTCTGCCCCCCCTTCCCTCCACTGGCTGTCTACTCGTCCACACCTCTCTGTGTCGGAAACGTTTCTGGAATTTGCATCGACGATGGATCGACTTGTTTGTTGTTGGGAATATTTAGATTATTTAGATGTGTAATTTTTTTGTTGGTGGCCTCCTTAGTTAAAAGGGTTATTAAGGTGTAATAGTCAAATTAGCTGTTACAGGTAATATAGCAAATACTTAAAAATGAAATATTTATTAACCAAGCAGCAAGACATTGCCTCAATGAACGTGTAAAATTAAATAATTTTATCGAAGAATGTTCAATTAAAAAGTATAAAATTGAAAAATAAGGTCATAAGCAAAATACTGTATAAAATATAAATGGCGAATTTATATTCATGAGTGAATTTCAGTTACAACTGTATCAGAATTTAACTCAGGTCAGGACTAAATTAAACAAAATTAATTCTTACTAGGTGAAATCCGTCGAATTCGATGGTTACTCTTGTGTTTTTACGTAAATTCAGCTAAATGGCAAAAAGATAGTGAAGTTATTAAAATCTTAGTTAAATGAAGGGAGGATAAACATAATTATGAGTATGACAATTGTTTACCTTAAAAACGTGGTTAGTTACAATATTTTCTGTCCTTTCATCGGCTTTAGGTTGCTCAAAAGGTTTTAATGTATTACCAATAGTATTATTTCATCGGTACTATTATTCATCTGTAGTACTATTTCATCTGGCTGGTCATCAGTGTTATTTTCAAAAATAACCATGTGTTTAACCACAATACAGTAATATTTCAATTACCTGCAAACGGGTTGGAGTAGATGATGTTATTTTCGTGTTCTACATTACATTTTGAATAAGAATAATTGAAAATGATGGAGGATCAATGATATGAACTCCGTTGTACTGCGCCATTTTATAAGCTTTCCAACCATATGCTACACTATTGAGGTTTAGATCTGATTTTGTTTGTTTTAGTGGTTTGAATACTAGAAAACACAAGGAATACAAGATTTGCTGAATACATGCGTGCTATCAATGTTTAAAATGTTAATAACCCCGTGTTTTGGAGTCTTCAAACCACTAAAGTGAACTTGAGCAGATCTAAACCTCAATAGTGAAGCATTTTGTTGGAAAACTTATAAAATGGCGCAGGTTTCAACATATGTTGCTACCCCCTTGAATACAAGGTCTATAAAAATGCTATAGACCAATGTTTTTTTTAGATTTTTATCAAAATATCTTAATTTTAATCTTTTGAAATATTTATAATGGAGTTTTTATTATTGATCATCCAACATTTCCAATGATTCTTAATAAAGATATAATGTAGATCACGAAAATAACATTATATAATCAAATATATTTGCAGGTATTTGAGAAATATCTGTTTAGTTTTTAAAACATGGTTATTTTATAAAATATTGAAATAATTATTTGGGAAGCCAATCTTTAGACTTGTAACCTCTCATATGCATCATCACACTTTATTTACTTTGTACTTACACCAAACGATTTTTGTAACACTGATGACCAGCCACCATGTATATTGGCTACACACCTATATACTATTCTAGGATTTCCTAAAAAGGATTTATATTTTGTCTGTTCAAATATCCGTTGGTTAATGATAAAATAGTTTTGTACATTATAGGAAGGACCCATGACAGACGTGCTTCGTATTATAATATTACTATATTATTAACTGAATTTGTTTAAATTGATTGATGGTCAGTTAAAAGTATCTAAAATGCAAAACCAACATCGTAACATGGACCTCAGTAAACAATCAACAGTAGCGTGAACCACATTTACAAGATACCCATTCGTATGTTCGCTAAACCAGCAATTTTCCGTAAGTATCGTATACAGCCTTGAACGTTAAACGAGCGGCTAAGCGTAGTATATCCCTCAGGGCCTATGTGCTACCCTAACCCTATTAACCGTTTATGAATCTTTAGTTAGGTAGGGATTACCCCCCTCCCCCCACTATTTTACCCCCATTTCTATCTCGCTCTCTCACAGACCGTCACAACCAGATACAAAGCTGCGTTTTGCGCCGGGATTCCGTTAATCCTCGTTTGCTTAGGCTAAACAGTTGCGGGTTTCGCGGGATTTGAAAAGGTTCACTTAACGCGGAAAACCATATGTTATGCTGTTTGTAAAGTCTTTCAACACTTTGAAAATTAGATGCAAAAGTTGGGTCTCGAATTATTTTGTTTTTGTTGGCGGAAATAGTAGTGTTATGTGCAATGAGTTTAGTTAGTTGTCAATGTTTTTTAGTTAAGTTTATCACTGATATTACTATCTTCTTTACGTTGGTCCAATGGTTGGACTAAGCTTAAGAAAGAAATTCAAGGGCTAAAATATTACTCAAGAACAACAAATAGTGAATAGAAGAAACATTCCGTATGCAATTTGTAGAATATGTTAATAAATTATTCATATGTGCAAAAAGATTAAATTTAAATACAGTATTGTGATATCATAATTTTGGTTTGTTTAAACAGAGCGTTGTTTACACTTTATAATAATAAGTCTATAAACTTCTATTTAAAAATATTCAAAAGCCTGCAAGCTATGCCGTATATTATAGAATATAAATCTGTATATCGTGATATTACCGATATTAAACATCAATAAATAAAACAAACAAAGTGAGCATTATATTTTAATCGAGTGAACATTTCTATTTTGATTAAGGCCAAAAGCTTAGCTAAAAAATACACGCCTTCTTATGAAAAAAGTAATTTGACGCACGGTAATTGATGTTAAGGCACTTATAAAATAAGACCGTATTTTGGTAAAACAAAAAACTATGGAATAGAACCGGATAATCTATAAATAACAATGCATTTTAACCTCTACCTCATCGTGCGATGCTACACTAATTTGAAAAAAATATATATTAAATGTAACACATTTGACTTTGCATTTTGAAAAAAATTATGCTTATTTGCAAATTCGATTTTTATGTTCTTTGGATGATGCCAGGGAACAAAGAATATAATTAAAACATTAATAGGAATTTCTATTCTGT